GGTCCCCTGCCCGCGCGGCCGCCCTGCTCTCCCTGCGCTCGCTGTCACTGAATTCAGCTGTGCACAAAGGGCCCTTTGAGGCGCGCGGTGGCCACCAGCCCAGCCCGTCAGCCCCAGCATCCAGCTCCCGCTGTCCAGCTCTTCACAGCTCCTCCAAGGCACTCGAGCCCTGAGAAGGGCAGCCCAAAGGGCACCAAGTGGCACAGAGGGGATGGCGAGGGACCCCGCATCCCCCCGCGTGGGAAGATGCTTCTGCATGGGGAGACCAGGGAGCATCTTCCCAGGGCCGCAACGGCTGCTTCTTCCCGACAAAGACAACAGTGCCATTGCTGCTGCCTCCGAGCGGGACGAGCTCATCCCAAAGCTGCTCCTCTGCGCCAGGCTGGAGGCTTGCAGGGGCGTCCAGGGGTGGATACCTGAGAGTCGGAGACCTCGGAGGGCTTCTCCGTGAGGCTGCTGCTCTCGGCAGGGATGAGGGCGTTGTACTTGGGCACGTCCTCGTCCGAGTAGGGAAGGCTGCTTTTTTTTGCGAGGGCTGGGCCGCGGCGGGGACCTTGGTGCAATGCGGATGCTCTGGTCACTCTCAGCACCGTGACTGTCCCTGGACCCCCCAAGCTCCAGGTCCGCGCTGTGCCCAGACCCCTCACCAGCCCTTTAGCCATCAGGGGACAGGGCTGGTGCCAGGTGGCTGCAGCAGAGGCAGGAGGACACGCAGGTCCCTGCAGGTGGCAGCCCCCATGGGACAGCAGGTCCCTGTGCGGGTCGCAGATGCCCAAGGGGTAGCAGGACCCGATTGAGCAGCAGGGCCCTGGGGTCTGGCAGGTCCCCAGGGGATCCCTGAGGGATGGCAGGTCCCCGGGGGCGGCGAGGTCCCTACCGGGTGTAGATGCCGTTCTTGCGGCAGAAGGAATTCTTGACGGAGAGGCGCCGGTTGTTGAGTTCCAGGGCGGGGAAGCTGCTCTCGTCCAGGCTCAGCATCTCGCCATGGCCTAGGGCGTTCGCCTTGGCGCCATTCCCTGTGGGGCCGCGGAGCTGAGCCGAGCGCATCCGAGCGCATCCGAGCTCTGTGCCCGCCCGCAGTTCCCGCAACCCCTCCCAGAGCCATCCCGGAGCCATCCCGGAGCCATCCCAGAGCCATCCCAGCGCCACCCGGGCGCAGAGCCC